TATATGTATATATATATTTATATATATGTATGTATGTGTATATTTGTGGGTGCGTGTGTACACTGGCGAAATTGCCTGTCATGGGCTGCAGTAATAACAGTAGCAAGTACGGAAAACAATAACAACAACAAAAACAACAACTAGAACAACAATAAGAATGGCAAAAGTTTAATGAGTTCAAGTTTTATAAATGAAAAGACAGGTGTCCTTGCAGCAGAAATCCCAATCGCAGACGTCGACGGCACGCTACGCGCCACAGACGTTGTCCTCGCCCGGCCGGATGAAGCCAAAAAGCGGTGACAAGGAAGACGAGGATGGCGATGATCAGGACGATCACTTCGAGGGCGATCCACGGCCCATGCCTTATGACTTTGAAAAGGAGTTGATTAACAATTCGAATAAGCATATACGCATATCTGAAGTCTTTGGGCCGCCTAATATAGGTATTTACATATTTGTTTTATTATATAAGCTATTTTTTTATTTGCAACTATTTTCTGGTTGACTTTGTGGCTCTAAGACTGTAAGTTATAGTGCAATTAAAACTGTGTGCCGTTCCAATTCCTAATTCCATACAAGCGAGAAGAGAGCACGAATACATATACTCTCCCTCTCTTATCCGTTGACGAAATGCTACGAAAATTGTGCGAAAGAAACTAAGCAAATATCGGTTCATCTACAAATTAGAACTAGTTTGAATATTCATTCCAAAGAGCGTAAAGATGAAGTGAAGTGCCACAGTCAAATAGTTTAAAAATTAATTAATTTTACAAAAAAGTTAATATTCAATATTTTTTCATTTCAGTATATCCAATCACTTCCAAATTTTATTCCAAATACGAGCCACAGTCAATTTTAAAGAAACCAACGCAGGCGCAGCGCCACAGATTCCATAAAGCACCGCCAGATTATCCGTTGCTGGAGTCACAGATGTACGGCTGGATGCCGTTGCAGTGTCGAGAAGCTGCCACATATTTAAATTGCATACACGCGCCAAAACGTCGCTGCCGCATGACAATACATGGAGAACAAATTATAGCGGGCCGAATTACTGAGCGCCCGCCTTTCAACGGTCTAAAATTCATACTTCATTAACATATGTTACTTATACGAGATAATTATCACATGCCCTGATGAAGTAAACTAATTTTATTTTTGAAAAATTGTTTAGCTCTGATTTGGGGACCTGTATTATCGGCAGTTCCATATTTTCATGTTTTGATCCAATTCCATCCACAAAGTGTGGAACAAATTTAAAAAATTTCTAAATTCTGGCAGCGCTGCAGTCGAGGACAAGTTGGCAGCTCAGTTGTTTTTAATGTTTACTTTTTAATGTTTGTGGGTTCTGGGGACATAAAATGGAAATAAATGCGGTTTGTTACTAATATTGTAATTATACGCTGCACCTAGAGAACATGGTAAGCACGCAAATCCCGAAATAAACTTTGAAGTAGCAAAATCGAAGTTTATGACATTTGTTGCCCTTGCAGCGGCATTTGCCGCTTAATTTGCCCCGATTTTAATGCCTCATTTATTAACAGACACAATCAAATAATACGCACGCAAACCGCAAAGGCGCCGATGAGGATTCGCAGTCTTTGAATCCAGAACAACTATTAGAAGGCCTCTTCCAAGCAATATATAGGCTATGTAAGTGAACTATATTTAATAAGTCAAAACATTCCCTTTTCCTTTGTATAGTGATCAAGCTTTTCTTTTATAGGGCTGCAGGGACGCCGGGTCGTTTGCTTCATCATGAGCGAACTGGGCGGCAATGAGTTGTTCGAAGCTGTCGTCTCCTGGTCGGTCCAGCATCCAGATCTGGCGATCTGTCTGCTGGCTGCATGTTTTGTTTTCCTTTTGCCTTTGCTCATCATTTTTGGCTTTGGTTTCATTACCTTGTTAGTAACGTTTACAGGCATTCTTGTACTAGAAGGTAGTTGATAATAATAATAGTATAAACTATCTCTATAGTTGATATTAATATCTTATTTTAATTACAGGCACTTTACTGACGTTTGTCTTTATGATATTTTTCGCCTGCATTGGCAGTTTGGCTATTGCCTTTCTCGTTTTTGCTGTTGTTGCATATTTTGGATTTTCGCAAATCTATGGATTCCTTGGCATGGAGCGTTATCGAGATGCATTTCTAAGATTTTTACAGGAAAATATAAGTGCAACAACTGCTAACAAATCAAATTAGAAATAGATTAAGCAGGGCATAATAATAGGCTAAGGCTATCGAAATGAAAATATGTAGAAGTTCAAGTAAGAAATAGATTGTAGTATGAATTATTTGATCATCAGTGTTTTTTATTGTTAGCTTTTATTTTTTTGTTTATTTGCCGACTGTTTAATTTATCGACTACAATTCGTGCACGATTGCTATCGATAGTTGTTTTGTGGCCACCCTAATATATACAAATAGTGTTTGCTGCAGAGATTTGTTTATAAATTATTATTCATTAGGTGCATATATATTCGTGTATAAATCCTGCGTCGCAGCAGAGAATTTTGTTGCTGACACGGTAAGTAAAACAATTACGTTAATTATTATTAACAATTCTGTTAATTATTCTATATGAAGTATTAACAAGAAAACAATTTGATTGTTGACAATGGATACACATGACATACAAACATACATACATACATACATACTTAAAGACAAATCTACCCTGTTTGATCTTGAACAAGTACTACTCCCTATAAAATAGGCAAAACGTTTTATGCATCAGTTAATTTAAGCTAATTTAAGTTATCCCTTAAATAAAAACAGCAAAAAATGAAAACAATTGTATCGAGTATATTAACTTAAGCAATCGATAATAAGTACAAGAATCGCGATATCCACCGATAGTATCGCTGAAGGTGTTGCAGGTCTTTTCTATGTACACACATACTTAGTTTTCGCTGGAAAATATTTAGTAATTTTCGTGTATTTAAGTGCGAGAAAATAAATAAACCCTGCTTTTAAGCAGACTAAATTCCTATTGACGCGGTAAGTAGTTGAAGTTAAGTAAGTTGAATGTTGAAAGTGGAGATGGTTGATGTGGAAAATTTTGTGTTAAAAGAAACGTAAGAAAGCTACTTTTGAGCAAGAGAAACAAGCAGCGGGGGTGTGGTAGATTCACATATACAGCCATAAACACTGTTAGTTGGATATGTATGTATTTATGTATGGAGTCTCCATGTTGTTTCAATTGCTATAAACATAAACAAAGCCAGGTAGACAAGTGGTAATTATTTATTGTGTGAATGTGATATAAATGAATTATGAATTAACTCATAAATACTGTCAAAATAAGGAAAACATGTATTCCTATGCTGGGCACGGCGTATTTATGTATGTACAAATGTATGTTTGTATGTATGTATGCGTGCAAGGGAGCTGTCACCTTTCTGCGCAGCATAAGACATACATACATACTTAAGTACTCAAAACATATAAATGAATATATAGAAATACCTAGTTTAGTGTAGTTTGCTAATGGTTTAATCCTACTATTTGTAAATATTGTCATTGAAAATAATTACAAGCAAGAACAATTTCCATGAAAATGTATGTAAATATGTATTTTATTACCATTTTGTATCGCAGCATATGGCAACACTGTTAAGCTGCATTGGAGTTTCTGCCTTGTGTACACAGTCTCTCTCACTCTCTCGCTCCCTCTCTCTGTCTGCTTCCCGATACATCTCGCTCACTCTCGCTGCACAATGTATATATGTATATGCGTGCAACGCGGCCGCTACGGCGTCGTTCTCACTATTTTCCAGTCACTTGTCTGCTTCGTTCGGTGCTGGTCGTTCGTTTCTTTGGCTGCGTGTGCCTAGAATCAGTAAAAGGCTTGCCACAAAAAAAGTAAATAGGCAAAGCAGTGAAAACTCGACTACATACAAATATTTTGTTTTTTTTTTCTGTGAATTATTAAAGAAAAGAAAAAGAATTGATTTTGTGTTGAATTAAAATTGGGTTTAGAACTTGCGTATTTAAAGCGCATCAGGTTTTTAGCTGTGCTCTTCGCATTGCAGGTAATTTTCAAAATCTACGCTTGTTGCCCTACATGCAGACACACACACACACACACACATACGCCCGTATATCTGTATGCACATACAAATGTATGTACGCACTATCTAAAGTATGCACCTTAGCATATTTTGTTTGCGCCGCAACGTCTTAAAACGGAAATACATGTTTGYTCGTACCAATACATACATACATATGTACGCATGCATGTGTGTGTGTGCTTTGCTTTGCTTATACAGTAAAAGAAGCGAGTAACGATGCTCGTGTTACCTGCCGTTTTCAATGTATATGCGAGTGTGAGTTGAGGGAGTTAGTGTTCCATCTCACGTTTCCTTCTGAAACTTGAGTCAGCACCAGCTCTCACGCTTAATTTTTAAACGAAGAGTATGTCAATGTTAATGTTATTATATACAAACATACGTTGTATATGCTCATACAATCATAATAGATACTTCAGTTTTCTGGAAATTTGGTGAATGAAAGCCATAGAAACGATTAAGACTATGTGTACATATGTACATAGAGATGTATATATGTATGTATATGGAGAGTTTAGGTTCATGCAGGTAGCAAGCCGGTTTAAAAAGAGAGAAAAGTACAGAAACCATGTTTATTTACAGTATTTGCCCATGTTAAGCTATTTTGTATGGAAAATCTAATGCTAATCTACATTTTAATTTATTTTTTTTTTCTTTTAGGTGTGGTGTAAATCGCCTAAATCACCAAGATGAGTTACATGCCAGCCCAGAACCGTACAAGTAAGTCTATACATAAAAAATGCTTGAATAATATTTATGGGGATAGTAGAGTTTCAGTACATTTTGTTCTTTAACTGTTTTTTTTTTTTTTTTTGTTGAACAACAAGCGAACTTGTTTCTAAACAGTTTAAATATTCACAAATCTTTAAACCAGTCGAATTGCACATGAGCTGCAATAGTGCGTAACTGTAAAATTCTCTGAAGCCTGCGGAAATAATTAGAGAACTATTCCCTTTGTTGTTGCATTGCATAAGTGATTCACTTTGCACTCGCATTCCCTGTCTTCTTCATTGCAACTGATTGAATGTGTAAAAAGGCTTGTGGCTGGGCGGGGCTGGACCCCAATCAATGTTATTGTACAGAGCAGAGCCGAGCAGAGCGGTGCAGAACTGCAGCACTAATGCGCCTCAATGGCCATTGACAAATGATTATTTTGCAGAGGCAGCGACAGGGGAAACGAGGTAAAGGCGTAGTTGTTGTTGTAATCGAATACAGCAAACAAATTGTGAGCTAGCTCGCTCCACTGCACTTTTACAGCAAAAACAACAATAACAACAACGAATGAATCTATCGGACGCCATTGTTGTTTATGTTCTTTTGTCAGTATTTCTCTTATTTTCTTTTATTTTTTTTTCGAGCTGTAATGCATCTCTCCTTCTGCTTGAGTGCGGCCATCCCTGCCAACTTGTTCATTTTGTTCTTTGCGCTTTCAACATGTTTTTTCTTTTTCTTTTTGCTGCCTTTGCAAATTGCGCTTTGTAACGGCAGTTGTTGTTGCTGTTGCTTCAACCACAGCTTCTCATGCTACTGCTGCTGCTACTGCTGCTGCTGATGTTGCTGTTCTTGTTGTTGCTGCTGCCACTTCATTTGCAATTCGTTTGGTTTGGGTCGTGTGGGTGTATGGGTGTATGGGTGTGGGTGTGTGCGTGTGTGCTCTCTTGCTGTTTCGATACGCCATCTCCTTCGCACACGCTCGTTAACTCTTCTAGATATACATATGTATGCGTGTATGCATGCATATATGCATATACATACGTATGTATGGCTGTGTTTTTTTTTTTTGCCATTGCTACTTCACTTGGGCTGGCGCACGTTTCGGATTTATTTCTGATTTTTGTTTAAAAATTTAATTAGAGCAACGCAGTGAGCAGCGGCCGCTCGGTGGGTTGGGCTCGACTGAAGGGCGTGTTTTTTTTTTGTTTGTTTGTCGAGCCGCCCAAGAATATGGCACAAAGTGCGTTTAATCGATCTGGGAAATATGCATGAATAGAGGCTTCAAGGCGGCCTCAAGGACCTGCCAGTTGCAGCGCATAAATAGCGCCAATTCAAAAACAAAGCGAATTGCTGAGCAGGCATAATTAAGGCAAAGTGGCAAACAAAACGCCCAACGCATTTGGAGCTCGATTACCGCCCTATGCTAACACACACACACACACAAATATATATAGAGAGAGACTATATACATAGACTGCTGTGAAGCATCAACCCTTGGAACTGACTCATTTGTCCTGGTAGCGCGCTTTTTGGCTTTGATTGCTCGTTGAGACACAAACGACGCTGATGGTTCCGTCTTTTTTTTTAATACATATATAAAACATATATACATTTCTTTATTTTTTCAAATTTTGAAAGGGGCCGTCGCTTTTATAATATGCAAAAAATGTCCTGCAGCACCCATCCTGTCAGATTATTCCTATTTCAGTTGCTGTTTCCACTGCCTCCTCCTCCCTTTTGCTGTCACATTTCGCTTGTCATCGTGTCGCATTTCAAATCCGACAAGAAGCCAGACATCGCCTTTGCGCTCAGCTCCTCTTTAACCCATTAGAGAGCGAGACAAAAGAGAGCGGGAGAGAGAGAGAGGCAGAGTTCTGCTGTGGGCTTTAATCCTAGATATGAAGTGCACTTGGTATTTCCACAACGGAAACACAAATCCAATAAAAATGTGTTGGTTCGCTGAGTATCTTTGAGTATCTTGAGTTGATGGGATCTGCGGCAAGAGTGTGTGAACTGTGTTGAAAGGATTGTGGGCTGTCCCATTGCAGGATAATGTCTTAAGTGTAGCCCGTCTAGCTTCTAGTTATGTTTGGTCAGCATATAGTCGGATTCTGCCATTTGTCAACAATTGGTTATACCTTCTCCATAATCATCTTTCGCAGTGTCCCATAACAATCAATACAATCCGCCGGATTTGCCGCCCATGGTGTCCGCCAAGGAGCAGACACTGATGTGGCAACAGAACTCGTATTTGGGTGACTCCGGCATACATTCGGGCGCCGTCACCCAGGTGCCATCGCTCTCCGGCAAGGAGGATGAGGAGATGGAGGGAGATCCGCTTATGTTCGATCTGGACACCGGATTTCCGCAAAACTTTACACAGGATCAGGTGGACGATATGAATCAACAGCTGAGCCAGACGCGGTCGCAACGAGTACGCGCCGCCATGTTCCCGGAGACGCTCGAGGAGGGCATCGA